TTCCCCTCCGCTCCCTTTCGCTCCCACCCTCCCCCACCTCCCCTCTCCCCTTCGCTTCCACCCACCCCCACCCCTTTCCGGCGCGTTCCCATCAATTCTCCACATCTTCACTCCCCCCTCCCCCCTCCACCTCCCTCCACGCATGTCGGTTATAAAATCTCGCTTGAGCCGAGAAATTGATGAGCGAAGCAGAGGGGGAGGGGGAAGCGAAGGGGGGAGAGGCTAAGGAGTGGGAGGAAGGGAGGGGGAGGGGGAAGCGAAGTGAAGGGGAGGGGGAGGCGAAATGCGAAGGGGAAGAGAGGGGGAGGGAAAGGAGAGAAGAAGGAAGGGGGAGTCAGAGGAGGGGGGAGGGTAGGGGACGGAGAAGCGATGGGGGAGGCGGAGGAAGGGGGAGGCAAAATGACAAGAGGAGGAGGAGGGTAGGGAGACGCGATGGGGGGAAGTGGAGAGGGGCGAAAGGGAGGTGGAGGGGGAGGGAGAAGCGAGGGGGAGGGGAGGGGGAGGTGGAATGCGATAGGAGAGGGGAAGGGGTGGTGAGCGAATCCACGGACTAAGGGGGGGTGTATGATAAGTAATACATGAACAACACGAACGCGCACCTTGATCTTTGCATGGGGGCATCGCAGTCGCGCGACGTACAACCCTTGACCCGCAGCGACATATGGCAGGCCTCCAGCGCGCCATGCCGCAGGCCTCGAGCGCGCCCTCAAAAAGCTTGAGTGGTCGAGAATCTAGGCTAGGGTTAGAACAAATTAGGAGCGAGGGCGCGAGGGGGCATACCTCCGACCTCCTCACTGGGGTCCTTTGACCTACTCGCGGGGGTCCTTCGGCTGCGCGTGCCGAATCCCCACCCCCCTCGTAAGATTTCGCATGCCGCCTAATTCTACGAATGCATCAGCGGCGCGGTCGACGGACAAGGGGGCGGCATGCGTACCTTCAATTTCTCACCATCGACGAGTCAGCCCTTCGCGCGCGGACTCACGACATGGTCTCGATGTCTGTGGGCGTGTGAGCAACGGTCAGAGGGCTAGGTTTGGGTATCCAGGTATGTAGGTGGTCAGTAATTCGATACTGACATCGACAACGCCCTACCGTAGGTACAATCAAAGAAAATCAGTACTACTCGACAACTCTCGCTACTAGGTGTACATAGGCGGCGCGCGAGAGTCAAGGCGAACAGTACTGACCTGCTCTTCCTTGCCCGGCGAGGTAGGTCTCTCGCAAGGCACTTGATCAATTCGTGAGTACCTAACCTAGTGAATCGTTAAACCACGCACACCAATCATCAATTCGTGAGTACCTAACCTAGTGAGTCGTTAAACCACGCACACCAATCATCACGACGGTCGAACATACCTTCAGCGATGATTCCAGCGTCCTACGTCCGTATCAGAGCGCAGCCCGACAATCCCCCGGCTCTACGGGGCAGCACGGTCAGCGGCGGAGCACGCAGACAGGTATTCAATACGTACCTCCACCAACTCTCTTCGAGGTCGCCTGTCGGGGACCCCACGCGCGTCTCCGGCGGTTCTGGGTCGTGGCAAAGCTACCTGGGAACAAGGGATCAGTACGCTCGTAGACAAGGGGACATCGGTGAAGGAAGGGGGTCCCCGGCGAGTCCTTCCCCTTCAGAATCAGATGAACATGAAGAACCTACTTGTACTACGACCACCACGACAAAGGGGGGAGGTCTCGCAATGAGGTGGACCCACACCTCTTTGAATCCTTCACCGAGGGGGCGCGCGCTTGCCTCCGGCGGCTCGGGGTCGGCAGAAATCACTTCAAGATACGGTCAGAGCGGGTTTAGACATTTCGGCGCATGGGCAGCATTTCGAACGGCATGAAAACTCACCTGCGCATGGCCCCTTGGCGCACTGAGAACAGCCGTGCTCATGTGAACAAGATCGCGAGGGTGCGAGGGTGCTCAATCCTCTTCGCGATCTTCACCGAGAGAGCCCGCGCGTGCCTCCGGCGGTTTGGGGTCTCACAAAAATTGCCTGGAAATGAGGCTCTGCGGCATATTCGACTCGCAGGGACCCCCGTTGTTCGTAAGGGGATAAGGCAGGGCTGTACTCACCCGATATACGCCTCGTGGGACGGCATGGATGGCGATATTTTCTCGTAGGATTGGATGGGAGGGGTCCACCCCTCGTCGCGTTCTTCGCCGAGAGATCGCGCGCATGCCTCCGGCGGCTCGGGGCCGGGAGAAAGTACCTGAAAATAAGGTCAACATGCGCTTTGACACCTTGACAACGGGAAAGCAGAAAACGGCGCGGTAACTCACTTGTGCATGACCCTCTGGCACGCTGAGAGCAGCGGGGCCCATATACGGCATCGCTGGGTGTGCGGGAATATTTTAACCTCGTCGCGTCGTTCACCAAGGGAGCCCCCGCGTGCCTCCGGCGGTTCGGGATCTCAAGAGCTTGAAAATGAGGTTCAGCGCGATATTCAGCTCGCAGGAATCCCCGCGGGACGTAGAGGGCGCGGACAGTGTCGTACTCACCGCTATACGTTCAGTGGGGCGACATGCTTAGCGCTAGTCCTCTTCGCGTGGGATTGGACGGGAGGGGTCCACCCCTCGTCGCGCTCTTCGCCGAGGAAGCGCACACAGGCCTCCGGCGGTTCCGCCTATGCAGAAAAATGCTTGGGAGGGGTCAGCCTGCGCAGATTGGGGATAACGTGCACGTACTCACCGTCGTCGTGATCGAGGGGTCCACCTGGGGAGTCGACCGAGCATGCGTCGTCAACGGCCGCGTGGACTACGACGTGGTCAGCGAGTGACAATCTACGAAAAACGAGGAACGCACCGGGTCATTCTCGCTATCACATGCGGCTGTCCCACAACGAGCTTGCAGTCCTCTCACTCGTCGCCACGGCGTCCAATCGAGAATTGTGCCGGCGGCCGCGCATTCTCTGACAGTCTCCTGGCCCTGGGTGTCGCGTGTGAGGCGGACGCGTGTCTCGGTGAGGCGGTCGGAGGACGATAGTGACGGGGAGCGCCAGGCGACTTGAGCGATGACGGCGACGGCGACGTGGCATGAGGATTATGGTGGTGGGAAGGAAGGAGCGCGGTCCTATACACTCAGGTCGTACGCATCAGCTGTCGCGTGCGGAGGGCGGTAATGAGAAAGCTTACCTTGACAGCGTTCTCGACGCTTTCGTGAGTTGTATTGGGGACGCCGGCATCGGTGCGGTCGTCGGCGGACAGCTGCGGACGAGGTCAGTGGGACAAGAGGCGCAACAAATACAAAACGCACCGTCCTTGGCATATACTCCGTAGTGGTGTCGGAAGGACACGTTCTTCAGTATACGACGGGGTTAACAAAGAAGAAGCAATTTCATGATCTGATGAATTGAATTAGCGGGACACGCGGCACGACGAGCGGGGCGGATGCTCACCATGAAACGTGGGGCGGCATATGAGTCGTCGAAGATAATGGGATGGGGATGGCGGGCGGTGTCGGGAGAGAACGGCCGTGGGTTATTCGCAGGAGCGCGATGCTCTTGCTCGTCGTGTACCGCGGTGGTGAGCCCCAGGACACACGACGCGGACAGCCTCAAGGGAAACAAGGCAGACGTGCCTGCGTGCGTCAACTTCGTGTTGGTTGTGAGCTTGAGTTCGACGTCGGTCGCGGCGAGTAGCTGGACCGAGACATGTTGTCCATCGCCTGCTTTGCGTCGCTGGCATCGCCGTGGTCGACGAAAGGCGAGATCACCTTCGAATGTGTCAGTTATAGTAGAGAATAGAGGTGGCGGGCGACGTACCTGACGATGCCGGCCAGCGGTGTCGTAGGCGTCTGCTCATGAGAGTAGGAAGAAAGCTGTAGTAGGAAGAGTCAGTAGCAAGTTAGAGACGTATCACTCACTGATGCTGGTAGTGACGATCAGGCTTGAAATGAACCCCGGTCAGTAAATGTTAGACTCGAGTAACGAAGTGACTTACAGAGCGAGAAGTACTGAGATCAAATCGGTCAGAATTGGGCAGAGCGTCGTAAATGGGATCGTACCATTATCAAATGCGTGGTCACTGAAGGTGGAGAGGTGAAGAGGCGAGGAAGAGAGGAGAGGAGAGGTGGAAGAGAGGAGAGGAAGAGGCAGATTGCTGATTGAGAGGGATTGCGCCCCTGCCTCTTATACGCCGCGAGACGGCTATACTAGGCAAGCGGCCCCCGTCAAACCCGTCTGACAAAGTTCCGCCATCACTCCGAGAAGTCGACGGGATTCTGGGGCCGAGGGGCGCCCAGGAAAAGTGAAAGATTTGGGGGAGTGGCGCGGTTCGCGCGCGTTCAATCTTCCGCTCCTCCCTGCACGAATGACAGCAAGAATGCAAGCGATAAGTCTTGAAACGTACCCCAGCGGATAGGGGAAGCCGCCCGTGGAGTCGCGGAAGGGGTGGCAAAGGGGTAGAGCGGGGTCTGTCGGGCGTTGTGCCGCTGCTCGTACAACTCGTTCTGCATTGTTTTCGCCAGGAGCGCCGGGCAAGATACAGCGCCAGAGCAGTCTGGGAGAATGCACGAGGCGGTGTGTGACGCGTGACAAGGCTGGGAGGTCGCGGGGAGACGGCAAGAAAGAGAGGAAAAGTCGAACTTGGTGCCATCAGCTGGATCTCCATTTGGAAGGCTTTGAGCTGCACGAGAGCCGGCGCGCCGCCAATGCGCGTCGAGCATTCCGACTCGGCGCTGCAATGTCCGTCAGCGCCGCTAAACGTGTGCGCGTCAATGCCGACTTGTCAAGGGGGTATATTGGGCAGGGGAGCGGAGGATGTGTGTAACCAGCCGAGGGGGCACGAACACCCGAAGGCGAGCGCGGCGCGGCCTCCGTCGCCGCGCGCCCAGTTCCCATCAATTTGATGGGTTCTTGCGCGCTCAATGCCCAGGCTCCGGGTGCGGAAAGCGCCGTAGAGCGGAGGAACATTCGAATGGGGGCAATGGCCGGTTACAGTTTTCGCGAGGTTACGGGTTTGTACGACCCTCGGAGGGCGGCAATGAGTCATGGTAGTAACGCGTGGGTCTGTAGGACACTTCAGAAGCCGGAGAGTGCCGACGGACAGGCGCCGAGATGTCGGTCAAGCGGAGGGGGTTGAGGAGGAGGGCAAGTGTATGAAAATTGTGGAGGAGTGCGGAGGGTCTGGAAGCGTACTGGTGGGTTATAGGACATCTATTATGCTATAGGGAACTGGATTTCTAGTCAACCTGTGCCCACGTAGAAGTATCACAGACGTACCAAAAACGACGCCACATGAGTAAAACGACCATATCGTAGCGTATACTTGGATGCAGCGCGCGCCGACGCATTTCGCCAGTACTACAAAGCTTTCCGAAGCGATCTACGATGAAATTGAGAGATCGAATATTTTGAGTCATGTTGGTACTAACCAGTCGTGCACTCGATTCATCCATACTTCCCCTCATATTCTTGCCTTTGGGGAGGTAGGATAGCGTTCCTGATCGCCCATAGGTCTCACTACAACGCCTACGCCATCTATGTCACTGACTACGCATGACCTTGCCTACCCGGACCCGTGGATTATAATGGGGGATAGGTGCCGAAGGCGGGGGAACTCCATCTCACGCCGTTCAGACTTCACTCATAGATTCCGTTCGCCCCAGATGCGATGAGCATGTCGTTCTTCGTGGATGTGTCCCGATGGTGACAATCAACCAGCCCATGAGGTCTCCGGGAAAGGAGACGGCGACGATGGGCGGGGAACGACGTGGAAGTGCGGGACGAGAGCGGTCGGCAATTGCCGGCGGATGATCGCGCCGGGCGGGCGATGGGCGCGTGCTGATCCCGACCGCCATCGTCGACGCTGCCCGTGTCGCCGACGTCGGGCGCGCCGTCGCGCTCGATGCGGAGGCGCCTGCAACGCTCATTTGACGCGCTTTCGACCTCAATCAAGCCCATTTTCTATGTGTGCAATACGGGTCTCGTGTTCAATGTCGTGCAGTGTATGGAAAGGAATTCTTCAAGACGATTGAGCGCCTCCCGCAACACGTTCCGTGGCGCGAATCCCCCTTCCAACAATCTGACACTTTTCAAGAAAGAACTTGACAATAGCGCATCCCCAGCGTGGGGTTTACTTGCTGACTTGATCCTGCCGGGTCGCGGGTACTCGAGTCCTTCCGTCTTCGGTAAACGCCCGTGCTTCTCCTGACCCTGACCCCGCCGTCGCTCGAAATTTCTCGCGCGACTTCTGCGTCCCCTTTGTCCGACGTATCCGGGGCTCTCCGTGTAGGTTGTCAGTTCTCGCGAAGGCGGCGGGAAGCACCACTGTGTCTCTCTGCTCGCCTTCCCGCCGTCGGCTCACCTGGCCCAAACGGCAGTTTGCTCACGCCAGCATCATGTCCTACGTGTTTCTCTCCTCATCAACGCATGCCACGTCTCGCTTCAAGCTCATTTTCTCGGTCTTGTCTAGCAATGAGTATATGAATTTTTGTCGGCCGAGCGGGCCATTCAGGTGCTTTCTCAGTTCTCTCTGAGCCTCTCTCAAGCTTACTTCGTCTCAGGTCCCCTTTCCCCCTCGCTCTCAATGACTACTGTGTGTGTCCCCGTCCGACGAGCGCTTTTCAAGTCTCGCTAGTCGCGCTGAGCGTTGAGTATATAGAATTCCATCGGCCGAGCGACAACCTCTGATGCGTGCTCTGACCTTCTCGCTCGTGCTCCCAATGATGACCCTCACCTAGCACGCTTTCTCCGACCGCTCAAGGTCCCGAAGCGACGCATTTTCATCCGGCGAGCAGTCCTCGATGCTTGCAGCCATCAACCTGCTTCAGCTCATCATCTGGGCTTTGCTTTCGCCTCCATGACTTCGCTCCGTCACCCCTCAATTTTCTTTGTCAAGACTCAAGCTTTCGTTCCCTAAGACCTTTCTACCATTCCTGCTTTGTGCCCAAGTCGCTCCCGCCGTTTTCGGGTCCTCTGAGTGATTCCCCTTCACCCCTACACTCTGAGTCGCTATTTTGGCGTTTTCGCAACACATCGTTGTCCACTAAGTGACGCGAGGCGTCGGCTAAACTCCCCCTTTACTTTCAGTGCCCTCGTGAGCTTGTTACATTCGCTGTGAGCGTGTCGTGCTTCTTGTGATCTCTCCGTGTCTCCTGTGAACTTGTTGCTTTCCCACCTTCCTGAGTCGGACGTCTTCCCGCCTTCACCTTCCTGGCTCCGTAAGTTGTCCCGGTGTGATCCACTCCATGTTAATCTCCGCTTTTGTGATCTCACCTTCTCCTCATCCTCTTCGTGTCTTGTCTGTGCTTCTCGCCGTGTCTCGTCTGTGCTTCTCCCCGTGTCCTGTCAATGCTTCTCAACGTGCTTCATCAAAGCTCGTCTCATCCCTAGTGACCATCTCACTCCACTGTGCTCGTCTTGTCCCGTAACACGCATCCCATCCTGCAGTACTCGTCTCGTCTCGTAGCACACATCTTGTCCGTCTTGTCCGAGTAAGATAGCAATGCATTGCTCTCTGTCTAATGGAATGATACACTCTTTGCCTGCCTTCGTTTCATACCCTTCCTGCATCTCACCTTCACATCCGCAGCCTCCAAGCTCCAAGCCTCGCTTAATCTCTACTTGTGATGCTTCTTTGACCCTGACCGCTTCTCGAGTGCTCCGTCGGACTTGAGGTAGCCGCTCCGTTGCCTTCACTGCTTCTTCGGACCTTGGTACCCGTAGCTTCCCTGACCCAGTCTCGATATTTGATCCCCACTCCACTCGCTCATCAACTCGTACACAGCTAGTTAACCAAGGTTACGTTTGAGAAGGGGCTGGTGTAAAGCCCGGTGGACCCTTGCACGTACCCTGACTTTTCTTATAGCCACGGGGTGCCTCGAGGAGTACCTGTCCTCTGGCCGAGCTTGGCAAAGTCATGTGCAGAGCGAGCAGAAAAATCGTAGGAGGCGCTGAAGGATGGGTTAGGACAAGAGAAATACAGAGACTGAAAGAGAAATAGTACACGCACCTTCCCCAACTTGACCGACGGCGATAGCTGTGCTGGCGCGGATGCGAACCCGCCTGTCACGCTTATTTCCGAGATCGGGCAGCTGAACAGGGAATAGGACGAGTTGAGGGTTGAATTGGGCGGAATGGCGCGGTAATACAGCAGCAAATACCCCCCTCTACACAAGCCGCGCACTCCGAACGCGCAACTCGGAGGTTTGTGTTTTTCGACGCTCGGCTAGGTCGGACTTGCAATTTCGCCCAACTCGTCCCAATCAGGAAAGCCCCCGGTTCAACTTCCGTCACATCACGCCCCGATGCCCAGCCCCCCGCCGCACCACACCCGCGCCGCGAGGCCAGGGCAGCCCAGCACAATGCCCGACCGCATAGTACCACCGCACTACATAACCTGAGGCGACGCGACGCAGACTCGCCCCGCCGCGACATATCACATGTCCCGCCGCTGGCTTCTCGCCGTCACCCGCCCCGCCCTCGAACCGCATGCATGACGCGTCCGTGACAGAAGCAGCCGCACCCGCCGTCGCTACTCCAGCACCTCCAGCGCAGTCACCGTTACCCCGCCTACTTGCACCCGCGTTTCCCGGCATGCGCAAGACTCGCGATCGACAACTTGCTTCCGTACACCTTCTTGCTTCCTGCCTCATCCTCGCGTGCGAATCGTGCTCACTTGCGCGTCTGGTCTGCCCTTGTACACGACCGGTAAGCTGATCTACGTCCACGCAGCGGTGTTCTGCACTCCTTCCCTATTCCATATAACATTCCATATTCGCCAGCGCCCGCTGGCTCGTCGCCCACCGTCCAGCACATCGCCCGCCTCCCGCACGCGACTCCGGCATTGCTAATGCATCACCTGATCGCGCCCGACACGCAATCGTGAGGTGACGGCGCCCTGGTCGCGGAGATGATCTGGAATTGGGCCCGCTGGCAGTCCCGAAGTATTTGTACCCGCGTCCGCTCGTTTCCCGCTCCCCAGTATCGCACTTTCGCTTCCACCACCATCATCACAACGATCAGAATGTCCCAGCCCTACGAGAAAGAGGCCGAATTCGCAGTCTGCGCCGTGCGACGCGCATGCAACCTCACCGCGTCGGTCTTCAACAAGTTGATCAAGAACGAGACGCTGGTGAAGGGCGACAAGTCCCCGGTCACAGGTGCGTGGTCGTACCATGTTCCCCCTCCGAACGCTGATGATCGAACGCAGTTGGCAACTTTTCCGCGCAGGCGCTGGTCTGCACGATGCTGGCAAACGCCTTCCCTGATGATCTGATCGTGGGAGAGGAAGACTCGGCCGACCTGCGCCAGGACACGGACGCGTCGCGCGTGCTCAAGGACAGGATCGTTGAGCTGGCGAACGAAGCACTCACCGCCGACCTCGCCCTCGGCGACAAGGAGCAGTGGGGGATCGGGCCCGGCAAGGCGCGCACGCCCGATCAGCTGCTGGACGCGATCGACAGGGGGAACTACGATGGGGGAAGGACAGGCCGTGCGTGGCGACATTTTCTACGTGGATGCGGACTAATCAGATGCACAGGCCTGTGGACGCTCGATCCGATCGACGGGACGAAGGGCTTCCTCCGCGGCGGGCAGTACGCGGTCTGCCTCGCGCTCATCGTCGACGGCGAGGTCAAGGTCGGCGCGATCGGCTGCCCCAACCTACACGTCGACGCCGCCAAGCCCGACGGCGAGAAGGGCTGCATCTTCGTCGCCGTTCGCGGGCGCGGTGCACAGCAGGTGCGTTCCCCCACCCCCCTTCCCTCCCCCAACACTCACCTCCCCCAGTACACCCTCGCCGGCGCGGACCCGCGACCCCTCCGCCTCCCCGTCCTCCCCACCTCGCAGATCAGCTTCCTCGAGTCCGTCGAGGCCGCGCACGCCGACCACGGCTTCAACGCGCGTGTCTCCGAGGTGCTTGGCGTGACCCTCCCGCCCGTGCGCATGGACAGCCAGGCCAAGTACTGCTGCCTCGCGCGCGGCGAGGGCGGCGCGTACCTCCGCATGCCCGTCGGCACCGGCTATCGCGAGAAGATCTGGGACCACGCGCCGGGCTCGGTGCTTGTCGAGGAGGCCGGCGGCACGATCAGCGATTCGAGGGGGAAGCCGCTCGATTTCGGACTCGGGTGGACGCGGGGGGAGAAATTTGGGAAGGTGATTGAGGCCGTGCAGACGGCGGTGTCGGAGGGGCTGGCGAAGTTATGGAGAGGGGACCCTGAACTGTACTACCGCATGTATCGTAGATGCCAATGCAGAGCTTTGAGTTTGCATTGCGCGCGTCGCGCTGAGTTTTCTCGTGTCCGCGCCAGTCGATGCGGGGAGGGTGGGCAGAAGCGAGGCGGGTTACGGACGGGTCGTCGTTTTCGCGCGAGGGGAGGGGGGGACATGCAGGATATTTATTGTGCAGCTATCCTACTCACAACTCATCTACAGCTCGTACTCACTATTTTACATAACCCCTTCCCATCTCCTTCCAACCCCTCCTTCCACCGAGGGAATCGAGCCCCCCGTCGAGGCGCGCACCTCTCGCGTTATGCACCCCTCCCCCCGCCGACATACCTCCTCCCCCTCCGCTCTCCCATTCTCGCACTCGCCCCCTTCGTGTCCTTCGACCTCCCCCATCACCCCTCCCCTTCGCCGCGCACAAGGTCCGCAGCGCCTCCACTCGGAGAATCCTCTGTGTCGCGCCCCGCCCGACGTCGTCGCGCCTGCCTGCCGTCGGGTCAAGGTGCACCAGCGTGGGTGAGAAAGGTGGGGGAGGGCAGCTGCTGTCTGATGAGCACTCGCTCTCGCACTTCGAAGAGGGGGATGCGTGGGTAAGGGGGCAAGCGAAGGGAAGGGAGAGCGAATGGAGCGGAGAAAACAAAAAAAGGAGGGAAGGGGGGATCGGAGGGGAGGGATATGTGAGGGGAAGGGAGGGATAGACGAAGGGGGAGGGGGGAAAGCGAAAGGGAGGGGGAAGCTAAGGGGGAACGGGCGAAGGGGCGAACAAAATCAAAAGGGAAGGTGAAGAAAAGGGTGAGAAGGGGGGAGGTAAGCGAGGGGGAGGGGGGAAGAAAGAATACGAACAGCGATACTCAACTTATCACCTCTTTCCCTCCTTCTCGCGCTTCGCCCTCAACCTCCCCCCTTCTTCCTCTCCCCCCTCCTCTCCCTTTCGCTCCTACCCTCCCGCACCTCCCCTCTCCCCTTCGCTGCCACCCTCCCTCACCCCTTTCCGGCGCTTTTCCAACGATTTGCCACATCTTCACTCGCCCCTCCCCCCACCTCCATCCCCGCATGTCGATTATAAAAGTTCGCTTGAGCTGAGAAATTGATGAGCGAAGTGAAGGGAGGGGGAGGCGAAATGCGAAGGGGAGGAGAGGGGGAGAGAAGGGAGAGAAGAAGGAAGGGGGAGTCGGAGGAGGGGGGGAGGGTAGAGGACGGAGAAGCGATGGGGGAGGCGGAGGAAGGGGGAGGCGAAATGATGAGAGGAGGAAGAGGGGAGGGAGACGCGATGGGGGGAAGTGGAGAGGGGCGAAAGGGAGGTGGAGGGGGAGGGAGAAGCGAGGGGGAGGGGAAGGGAAGGGAGACAGAAGTGAAGGGGGAGTGGAGGGGGTGGTGGAATGCGATAGGAGAGGGGAAGGGGTGGTGAGCGAATCCACGGACGAAGGGGGGGGGCGTATGATAAGTAATATATGAACAACACGAACGCGCACCTTGATCTTTGCATGGGGGCATCGCAGTCGCGCGACGTACAACCCTTGACCCGCAGCGACATACGGCAGGCCTCCAGCGCGCCATGCCGCAGGCCTCGAGCGCGCCCTCAAAAAGCTTGAGTGGTCGAGAATCTAGGCTAGGGTTAGAACAAACTAGGAACGAGGGCGCGAGGGGGCATGTCTTCGACCTCCTCACTGGGGCCCTTTGACCTACTCGCGGGGGCCCTTCGACCTGCTCACTGGAGCCCTTCGGCTGCGCGTGCCGAATCCCCACCTCCCTCGTAAGATTTAGCATACCGCCTAATTCTACGAACGCATCAGCGGCGCGGTCGACGGACAAGGGGGCGGCATGCGTACCTTCAATTTCTCACCCCATCGACGAGTTAGTCCTGCGCGCGCGGACTCACGGAATGATCTGGTTGTCTATGGGCGTGTGAGCAACGGTCGGATGGCTAGGTTTAGGAATCTAGGTATGGAGGTGGTCGGTAATTCGGTACTGACCGCCGTCGAGTAGGTACAATCGAAGAAAATCAGTACTTCGTGGTATACACAAGCGGCGCGCGGGACAGAGTCAACGATATTGACCTGCGCTTCCACGCGCGGCGAGGCAAGCCCCTCGCACGGCGCCCTCCGACGCGTCAATCACCTCGAGTCCCTCGAGGGCACCTGCGAAGTCGTAAATTTATGCAAATCGCAACCATAACGACCACCAGACATACCTTCAGCGATGGTCCCAGTGTGCTACGTCCGTATGAGAGCGCAACCTGACAGTCCTACCGGCTCTACTAGATAGCACAGTCAGCGGTGGAACACGCAGACAACGATTCAATACGTACCTCCACCAACTCTCTTCGAGGGCGTCCGCCGAAGAGACGAGGGCGTGAGCCTCCGGCGGTTTGGGTTCGTGGCAAAGCTACCTGGGAGCAAGGGATCAGTACGCTTGTAGAAAAGGAGATATCGGTGAAGGAAGGGGGTCTTCGGCGAATCCTTCGCCTTCAGAATCAGATGAACATGAAAAACCTACTTGTAATCCGACCCCCCGACGACGAAGGGGGAAGGCCCCGCGAAGACGTGGACCCACACGTCTTCGAATCCTTCACCGAGTGAGCGCGCGCTTGCCTCCGGCGGCTCGGGGTCAGCAGAAATCACTGCCAAATACGGTCAGAGCGGGTTTTGACATTTCGACGCATGGGCAGCGTTTCAAAACGGCATGAGAACTCACCTGCGCATGACACCCCTTAGCGCGCTGCGAACAGCGATGCTCACGCGAAATGGTCGCGGGGGTGCGAGGGTGCTCAATCCTCTTCGCGGTCTTCACCGAGGGAGCCCGCGCGTGCCTCCGGCGGTTTGGGGTCTCAGAAAATTGCCTGAAATGGAGGTTCAGCGTGATTTTCGACTCGTAGGGACCCCCGTTGTTCGTAAAGGCATAATGGCAGGGCTGTACTCACCAATATACGCCTAGTGGGACGGCACGGATGGCGATAATTTCTCGCAGAACTGGATGGGAGGGGCCCACCCCTCATCGCGTTCTTCGCCTAGGGATCGCGCGCATGCCTCCGGCGGCTCGGGGTTGGCAGAAAATACCTGAAAATAAGATCAGCATGCGCTTTGACACTGTGACGACGGGAGAGAAGAAAACGGCGTGGTAACTCACCTGTGCATAACCCTCTGGCGCGCTGAGAGCAGCGGCGCCCATAGACGGCGTCGCTGGGTGTGCGGGGATACACTCACCTCGTCGCGTCGTTCACCAAGAGAGCCCACGCGTGCCTCCGGCGGTTCGGGATCTCACAGAAATGCCTGAAAATGAGGTTCAGCCCGCTATTCAGCTCGCGAGGATCCCCGCGGGACGTAGAGGGCGTGGACAGTGTCGCACTCACCGGCATACGTTCAGTGCGGCGACATACTCAGCAGTATTCCTCTTCGCGTGACATCGGACGGGAGGGGTCCACCCCTCGTCGCGTTCTTCGCCGAGGAAGCGCACGCAGGCCTCCGGCGGCTCCGCATATGCAGAAAAATGCTTGGGAGGGGTCAGCATGCGCAAATTGGGGATAACGTCCACGTACTCACCGTCTTCGTGATCGAGGGATCCGCCTTGGGGGTCGACCGAGCATGCGTCGTCGACGACCGCATGGACTACGACGTGGTCAGCGAGTGACAATCTACGAAGAACGTGGAACACACCGAGTCAAGCCCGCTATCACACGCGGCGGTCTTGCAACGAGCTTGCAGTCCTCTTCCTCGTCGCCACGGCGTACAATCGAGAATTGTGCCGGCGGCCGCGCATTCTCTGACAGTCTCCTGGCCCTGGGTGTCGCGTGTGAGGCGGACGCGTGTCTCGGTGAGGCGGTCGGAGGACGATAGTGACGGGGAGCGCCAGGCGACTTGAGCGATGACGGCGACGGCGACGTGGCATGAGGATTATGGTGGTGGGAAGGAAGGAGCGCGGTCCTATACACTCATGTCGTACGCATCAGCTGTCGCGTGCGGAGGGCGGTAATGAGAAAGCTTACCTTGACAGCGTTTTCGGCGCTTTCGTGAGTTGTATTGGGGACGCCGGCATCGGTGCGGTCGTCGGCAAGGACAGCTGCGGACGAGGTCAGTGGGACAAGAGGCGCAACAAATACAAAACGCACCGTCCTTGGCATATACTCCGTAGTGGTGTCGGAAGGACACGTTCTTCAGTGTACGACGGGGTTAACAAAGAAGAAGCAATTTTATGATCTGACGAATTGAATTAGCGGGACACGAGGCACGACGAGCGGGGCGGATGCTCACCATGAAACGTGGGGCGGCATATGAGTCGTCGAAGATAATGGGATGGGGATGGCGGGCGGTGTCGGGAGAGAACGGCCGTGGGTTATTCGCAGGAGCGCGATGCTCTTGCTCGTCGTGTACCGCGGTGGTGAGCCCCAGGACACACGACGCGGACGGCCTCAAGGGAAACAAGGCAGACGTGCCTGCGTGCGTCAACTTCGTGTTGGTTGTGAGCTTGAGTTCGACGTCGGTCGCGGCGAGTAGCTGGACCGAGACATGTTGCCCATCGTCTGCTTTGCGTCGCTGGCAATCACCGTGGTCGACAAAAGGCGAGATCACCTTCGAATGTGTCAGTCATAGTTGAGAATAGAGATGGCGGGCGATGTACCTGACGACGTCGGCCAGCGTGCCGTCGGCGTCTGCTCATGAGAGTAGGAAGAAAGCTGTAGTAGGAAGAGTCAGTAGCAAGTTAGAGACGTATCACTCACTGATGCTGGTAGTGACGATCAGGCTGGAAATGAAGCCCGATCAGTAATTATTAGACTGGAGCAACGAAGTGACTTACAGCGAGAAAGTACTGAAATCAAATCGGTCAGAATTGGGCAGAGCGTCGCAAATGAGATCGTACCATTATCAGATGCGTGGTCACTGGAGGTGGACAGGTGAAGAGGCGAGGAAGAGAGGAGAGGAGAGGTGGAAGAGAGGAGAGGAAGAGGCAGATTGCTGATTGAAAGGGATTCCGCCCCTGCCTCTTATACGCCGCGAGACGGCTATACTACGCAAGCGGTCCCCGTCAAACCCGTCTGACAACGTTCCGCCATCACTCCGAGAAGTCGACGTGATTCTGGAGCCGAGGTGCGCCCAGGAAAAGTGGAAGATTTGGGGGAGTGGCGCGGTTCGCGCGCGTTCAATCTTCCGCTCCTCCCTGCGCGAATGTCAGCGAGGATGCAAGCGATAAGTAATGAAACGTACCCCAGCGGATAGGGAAGCCGCCCGTGGAGTCGCGGAAGGGGTGGCAAAGGGGTAGAGCGGGGTCTGTCGGGCGTTGTGCCGCTGCTCGTACAACTCGTTCTGCATTGTTTTCGCCAGGAGCGCCGGGAAAGATACAGCGCCAGAGCAGTCTAGGAGAATGCACGAGGCGGTGTGTGACGCGTGACAAGGCTGGGAGGTCGCGGGGAGAGGGCAAGAGAAAGAGGAAAAGTCGAACTTGGTGCCATCAGCTGGATCTCCATTTAGAAGGCTTTCAGCTTGTCGGCGCGCCGCCGATGCGCGTCGAGCTCTCACATTTGGGCGCCTGAGTTCCACCGGCGCCGTTACACATGTGTGCGTCATTGACAACATGTCGAGGGGGGTAAAGTGGGCAGGGGGAGCGGAGGATGTGTGTAAGCAGCCGAGGGGCACGAACACCCGAAGGCGCGGCGCGGTCCCCGTCGCCGTGCGTCAGCCTCCCATCAGTTTGATGGGTTCGCGGGCGCCCAATGCCCAGGCTTCAGGTGCGGAAAAGCGCCGTAGAGCGGAGGAAGATTCGAATGGGGGCAATAGCTGGTTAGAGTTTCTGCGTGTATACGTATTTGCAAGGCCCTTGAAGGCCAGCAATGCACTATAAAAATGACGAGAGTGTCTTGAAGACACGTGCAAGGTCGGAGACGACCGCCAGTCAGGTGCCGCGATGTCGCTCAAGCGCGGGATGAGGAGGAGGGGAAGAGCACGGGAATTGTGGAGGAGCGCGGAGGGTCTGAAAACGTACTAGTGTGTCATAGGACATCTATAATGCTATAGGGAACTGACTTTCCAGTCAATCTGTGCCCACGGAGAAGTATTATGGACGTACCGAAAACGACGCCACATGAGTAAAACGGCCATATCGTAGCGTATACTTGGATGGAGCGCGCGCCGACGCATTTCGCCAGTACTACAGAGCTTTCCGAAGCGATCTACGATGAAATTGAGAGATCGAATATTTTGAGTCATGTCGGTACTTACCCGTCGTACACTCGATTCATCCGTACTTCCCCTCATATTCTTGCCTTTGGGGAGGTAGGGTGCCATTCCTGATCGACCATAGAGCTCCCTACTTCGCCCACACCATCTATGTCGCTGACTACGCTTGACCCCTCCTACCCGGACCCGTGGATTATAATGGGGGGTGATGGCGAGGGAACTCCATCTCAGGCCGTTCAGACTTCACTCGTAGATTCCGTTCGCCCCAGATGCGCTGACCGTGTCGTTTCGCGTAGATGAGTCCCGATGGTGACAATCAACCAGCCCATGAGGTCTCCGGGAAAGGGGACGGCGACGATGGGCGGGGAACGACGTGGAGGTGCGGGACGAGAGCGGTCGGCAATTGCCGGCGGATGATCGCGCCGGGCGGGCGACGGGCGCCTGTTGATCTCGACCGCCATCGTCGTCGTACCCCGTGTCGCCGACGTCGGGCGCGCCGTCGCGCTCGATGCGGAGGCGCCTGCATCGCTCATTTTTCGCGCTTTCGACCTCAAATAAGCCCATTTTCTATCTGTGCAATACGGGTCTCGTGTTTGATTTCGTGCGTTAAAGGCAAGAGCGCGAGATTCTTCAAGACGGCTGAGCGCCTCCCGCAACACGTTCCGTGGCGCGACTCCCATTTCCAACAATCGGACACTTTGGAAGAAAGAACTCAGCAATAGCGCATCCTCAGCGTGGGGCTTACTTGCTGACTTGATCCTGCCGGGTCGCGGGTACTCGAGTCCTTCCGTCTTCGGTAAACACCCGCGCTTCTATTGACCCTGACCCCGCCGTCGCTCGAAATTTCTCGCGCAACTTCTGCGTCCCCTTTGTCCGACGTATCCGGGGCTCTCCGTGTAGGTTGTCAGTTCTCGCGAAGGCGGCGGGAAGCCCCATTGTGTCCCTTAGCTTACCTTCCCCGCCGTTGGCTCACCGTCGGCCCACCTATCCCAAACGGCTGTTCGCTCACACCATACGTAATCACCTCCTCATCAACGCATGCCACGTCGCGCTTCAAGCTCATTTTCTCGGTCTTGTCTAGCAATGAGTATATGGATTTTCGTCGGCCGAGCGGGGCATTCAGGTGCGTTGTCCGTTCTCTCTGAGCCTCTCTCAAGCTTACTTCGTCTCAGGTCCCCTTTCCCCCTCGCTCTCAATGACTACTGTGTGTGTCCCCGTCCGACGAGTGCTTTTCAAGTCTCGCTAGTCGCGCTGAGCGTTGAGTATATAGAATTCCGTCCGACGAGCGACGACCTCTGATGCGTGTTCTGACCTTCTCGCTCGTGCTCCCAATGATGACCTCCACCTAGCACGCTTTCTCTGATCACCTCAAGTTCCAAGCGATGCATTTTCATCCGGCGAGCAGTCCTCGATGCTTGCGGCCATCAACCTGCTTCAGCTTATCATTCGGGCTTCTCTTTCGCCTCCATGACTTCGCTCCTTCTTTCCTCAACCTCATTCGTCAAGGCTCTCAAGCTCTTGCTCTCTGTGACCTTTCTCTTGTTACTGTGCCACGCTCAAGTCGCTCCCGCCATTTTCGGGTCCTCCGAGTGATTTCCCTTCACCCCTACACTCTGAGTTGCTATTTTGGCGTTTTCGCAACACATCATTGTCCACTAAGTGACGCGAGGCGTCGGCTAAACTCCACCTTTACTTTCTGTGGCCTCGTGAGCTCTTTACCCTTGCTGTGAGCATGTTGTGCTTCTTGTGAGCTCTCCGTGTCTCCTGTGAACTTGTTGCTTTCCCACCTTCCTGAGTCGGACATCTTTCCGCCTTCACCTTCCTGGCTCCGTAAGTTGTTCCGGTGTGATCCACGCCTTCCTAATCTCCGCTTTTGTGATCTCACCTTCTCCTCATCCTCCCCGTGTCTCATCTGTGCTTCTTGCCGTGTCTCGTCTGTGCTTCTCGCCATGTCTTGTCAATGCTTCTCGTTGTCTTTCATCAAAGCTCGTCTCATCACTAGTGACCATCTCACACCACTGTGCTCGACTTGTCCCGTAAAACACATCCCATCCTGCAGTACTTGTCTCGTCTCGATAGCACACATCTTGTCTGTCTTGTCCAAGTAAGATAGCAATGCATTGTCTTCTGTTGAGTAAGATGATACACTGCTTTCCCACCTTCATTTCATACCCTTCCTGCATCTCACCTTCACATCCGCAGCCTCCAAGCTCCAAGCCTCGCTTAACCTCTACTTGTGATGCTTCTTTGACCCTGACCGCTTCTCGAGTGCTCTGTCAAACTTGAGGTAGCCGCTCCGTTGCCTTCACTGCTTCTTTGGACCTTGGTACCCGTAGCTTCCCTGACCCAGTCTCAATATTTGATCCGCACTCCACTCACTCATCAACTCGTACACAGCTAATTAACCGAGGTTACGTTTGAGAAGGGGCTGGTGTAAAGCCCGGTAGACCCTTGCACGTACCCTGACTCTTCTAAGAACCACGGGGTGCCTCGAGGATGACCTGCCCTCTGGCCGAGCTTGGCAAAGTCAAGTGCAGAGCGAGCAGAAAAATCGTAGCAGGCGCTGAAGGATGGGTGAGGACAAGAAAATACAGAGACTGAAAGAGAAATAGTACGCGCACCTTCCCCAACTTGAACGACGGCGATAGCTGTCCTGGCGCGGATGCGAACCCGCCTGTCACGCTTATTTCCGAGATCGGGCAGCTGAAGAGGGAATAGGACGAGTTGAGGGTCGAATTGGGCGGAATGGCGCGGTAATACAGCAGCAAATACCCCCCTCTACACAAGCCGCGCACTCCGAACGCGCAACTCGGAGGTTTGTGTTTTTCGACGCTCGGCTAGGTCGGACTTGCGAACTCGCCCAACTCGTCCCAATCAGGAAAGCCCCCGGTTCAACTCCAGTCACATCACGCCCCGATGCCCAGCCCCCCGCCGCACCACACCCGCGCCGCGAGGCCAGGGAAGCCCAGCACAATGCCCGACCGCATAGTACCATCGCACTACATAACCTGAGGCGACGCGACGCAGACTCGCCCCGCCGCGACATATCACATGTCCCGCCGCTGGCTTCTCGCCGTCACCCGCCCCGCCCTCGAACCGCATCCATGACGCGTCCGTGACAGAAGCAGCCGCGGCTCCGCCCGACCCCGCCTCACACGCCGGCGACGCATGTCCTCCAGCGCAGTCACCGTTACCCCCCCCTACTTGCACCCGCGTTTCCCGGCATGCGCAAGACTCGCGATCGACAACTTGCTTCCGTACACCTTCTTGCTTCCTGCCCCATCCTCGCGTGCGAATCGAGCTCACTTGCGTCTGGTCTGCCCTTGTACACGACCGGTAAGCTGATCTACGTCTACGCAGCGGTGTTCTGCACTCTCTTCCTATTGCATAAGGCATTCCATATCCGCCAGCGCCCGCTGGCTTGTCGCCCACCGTCCAGCACATCGCCCGCCTCCCGCACGCGACTCCGGCATTGCTAATGCATCACCTGATCGCGCCCGACACGCAATCGTGAGGTGACGGCGCCCTGGTCGCGGAGATGATCTGGAATTGGGCCCGCTGGCAGTCCCGAAGTATTTGTACCCGCGTCCGCTCGTTTTCTGTTCCCCCAAATCGCACCTTCGCTTCCACCACGATCATCACAACGATCAGAATGTCCCAACCCTACGAGAAAGAGGCCGAATTCGCAGTCTGCGCCGTGCGACGCGCATGCAATCTCACTGCGTCGGTGTTCAATAAGTTGATCAAGAACGAGACGCTGGTGAAGGGCGACAAGTCCCCAGTCACAGGTGCGTGGTCGTACCATGTTCCCCCTCCGAACGCTGATGATCGCACGCAGTTGGCGACTTTTCCGCTCAGGCGCTGGTCTGCACGATGCTCGCAAACGCCTTCCCCGATGATCTGATCGTGGGAGAGGAAGACTCGGCCGACCTGCGCCAGGACACAGACGCGTCCCGCGCGCTCAAGGACAGAATTGTAGAACTCGCGAACGAAGCACTCACCGCCGACCTCGCCCTTGGCGACAAGGAGCAGTGGGGGATCGGGCCCGGCAAGGCGCGCACGCCCGATCAGCTGCTGGACGCGATCGACAGGGGGAACTACGATGGGGGAAGGACAGGACGTGCGTGGCGACATTTTCTTCGTGGACTCGGACTGACCGAACGCGCAGGCATGTGGACGCTCGATCCGATCGACGGCACGAAGGGCTTCCTCCGCGGCGGGCAGTACGCGGTCTGCCTCGCGCTCATCGTCGACGGCGAGGTCAAGGTCGGCGCGATCGGCTGCCCCAACCTGCACGTAGACGCTGCCAAGCCCGACGGCGAGAAGGGCTGCATCTTCGTCGCCGTCCGCGGGCGTGGTGCGCAGCAGGTGCGTCCCCTCATCCCTCCCCCTCCCCCTCCTCGTACTCACCTTCCCCCAGTACACGCTCGCCGGCGCGGACCCGCAGCCCCTCCGCCTCCCCGTGCTCCCCACCTCGCAGATCAGCTTCCTCGAGTCCGTCGAGGCCGCGCACGCCGACCACGGCTTCAACGCGCGCGTCTCCGAGGTGCTCGGCGTCACGCTCCCGCCCGTGCGCATGGACAGCCAGGCCAAGTACTGCTGCCTCGCGCGCGGCGAGGGCGGCGCGTACCTCCGCATGCCCGTCGGCACCGGCTACCGCGAGAAGATCTGGGACCACGCGCCGGGCTCGGTGCTCGTTGAGGAGGCCGGCGGCACGATCAGCGATTCGAGGGGGAAGCCGCTCGATTTCGGGCTCGGGCGGACGCTGGGGGAGAACTTTGGCGTGGTGGCTGCGGAGAAGACGGTGCACCCGAAGGTGATTGAGGCCGTGCAGACTGCGGTCGCGGAGGGGTTGGCCAAGTTCTAGAGGACGGCGCGAGGAGAAACGCAGGCGATGGAGGAGAGAAGTGCAGCTACCGTGCGTGTGATACCATCATCCTTGCTGGTCCTATACATGTATCATAGACTCGACTGAAAGGTTATAGAAGCTTGAAGCCATCGAGAGATTGCGTGCCGAACGGTTTGAATTATGGCTTCGTGGTAATGGTTCGTGATGAATGAAGGTGCGCTCTGGACGTGCTTTTCCTGGTCATCTGCCTTCAAGCGAACCCTGCTCGGCAAGTCAAACGCTTCAGCACTCGGAATTAACCGAACTGGGTCACTTCCACTCTTCGCTTGCGCATTTGCGCAGGCGGACATCCTTGTGCGGAGAATTCAAAGCGGAATCCAGGCGCGTTCAGCCCCTGGATTGTGCCAAACGAAGCGCCTTCCTCGCGATCTTTCGAGATCCTTCACGAAACTTCGTCCACTAGCCAACACGCGCTGCGCCTGCAGGCAATTCAGCTCTTCCGAGGCGTCGCGGGCGACTGGTGAGGTCAGCCGCGGGGCTGAGTCGGTGCGCGCCACCCTAACTTCACTGATTCATCCGCGCACCTGACGCGCTTGCGCGTACGTCGTACGACGCCTCGTTGAGCATGCAGCCGACGAGGCCGATGACTCGGGCGTCGTGCAGGTCGTCAGCGTCAGCCGCGACGACCTGCACGAGCTCGGCGCATCAGTCAGCGGTCACGAGCTTGCCTTACACAATGCGCGTGACTTGAAAGTATAGCGTTCGCTGGCGCGTTCATCTCCTTCTGAGCAGCGCAGAGTACGAGATGGAAGGGTGTTAGAGAGGCGTAGAGGCTTCCTGGAACGTCCCCAACATCCAGCTGTCTGTTTTGCGTCGCACAAAGTGTTTCTGGTGAAGTTCAACCGTCACGTGCCGGCCTTATCAATTATGCCGGCATTTTCCGGTGCGATAGGCAAAGTAGTATATAAGCCGCCTCCTTCCCTCTTTTCCTCATCCGTTTCCTTCCGCTCGAAGCAGAACAGCAACGATGGTCGCTATTATTCAGAAGCCTGCTCCTACCTTCACCGCCGCCGCCGTTGAGGACGGCCTCATGAAGGACATCTCCTTGAAGGATTACCTCGGGCAGTGGTGCGTTTTCGAGCGTCTTTCATGAGGGAACGAAGCTGATGTTTTGCGATCGCGTTTTCCAGGGTTGTCCTCCTCTTCTACCCCATGGACTTCACCTTCGTCTGCCCGACGGAGATCCTTGCATTCAACGATGCGTTGAACGACTTCAAGCAGATCAACACCCAGGTTCTTGGTGCGTCCCCCATTCCGATCCTCACGAATCTTCCACTCATCTTCCTCCACAGGCCTCTCTACCGACTCGCAGTATGCGCACTTTGCGTGGGCGCAGCTCGAGCGCAAGGCTGGTGGCCTTGGCCCCGATCTCAAGATCCCCCTCGTCGCGGACCGCAGCATGCAGATCTCGCGCGACTACGGCGTGCTGATCGAGGACGCGGGTGTCGCGCTCCGTGGCCTCTTCATCATCGACCCGAAGGGCATCCTTCGGTGCGTACTCCCATCCCCCTCCTCCTGTTCGTCTAAGCTGACTTTGCCGCAGTCAGATCACCGTGAACGACCTCCCGGTCGGCCGCTCGGTCGAGGAGACGATCCGCCTCGTCAAGGCATTCCAGTTCACCGACGAGTACGGTGAGGTCTGCCCCGCCAACTGGCACGAGGGCGGCAAGACGATCAAGCCGACGCCGACCGACAAGCTCGAGTACTTCTCGACCGCGGAGGCGGACGCGGCGAAGAAGCAGCGCACTGCGTAAACGTCGCTTGATCCACGCTGCGATCGACGATGCCTGCCATGACTGACGACTTGCGACGACGGAGGGGATAGAAGAAGGATCTAGAAATGTGCTATTAGATTTACTAGAGGGCGCTCTTGTTTGTAGAGGTTGTATCAATGCCTTTCGCTCTCGACGCTTTTCGTGTGTGACAGCATCAGACCCCAGTCCAGTCCAGCGTTCGAGGTAGTCGAGGTGCAGAAAGGCTTGGCGGACTGCGATGGTTACGGGATATGTATTCTCTGCGATCGAGCTCTCGTCACCTTCACTTCCAGCGAGGAGATCCTTACTGACCACTCCCTTTACAGACCTTTCAAGAGGAGGAACCTAGGAAGAACCTTTGTATCTTCCGTGAGACTCCCCGCGGGGCGCATGCGTGCCGACTCCAACGCAGTGATTCGGGGGCGCGTCCGTCGCGCGTGGCAGCTTCCGACGCGCTTGGGCATCCCTGCAAACGCATCACGTTGGCTTCCCGCACCTCTAACACGCGGCGTGGCAGCGGGTATAAAGCCCGCCCCGCAGCCCCCGCGCATTCTTCCCTCCCCTCATCCCCCCATCCGTTGGTCGCTTCCCCAAACGACCGTCTTATTTGCTGAACCAACCTCGACGAGCCCTTGTCATTCCTTTTCAATCGCTCGTGATACCTCGCACCCCGTCGCTGTCTACGACTCGCCAACTCGCTCAGCCCAACGCACCGTGATCTGACCGTGCCCGCTTTCGACGAATCGCCTTTACCCAGTCTCGCCACATCGCTTTCGAGCCACCGCCTTCGGTCAGAACCCCCCAAGTCAATCCACGCTTCCCCAAACACCCAACATGGCCCCCTTCACCACCCTTGCCTCCCTCCTCACCCTCGCGCTCGTTGCGGGCGTTCAGGCTCAGTCCGCCTCTGCCTCCGCTGCGCAGTCCTCCGCCCCCGCGCTGGGCTCGTCGTCCGTGCCGGCCCAGTCCTCCGCGGTGGCGTCGGTTACGTCTGCCGCCGCCTCTGCTGCGCAGCCTTCAGCCTCTGCTGGCGCTGGACCGGACACGTCCTGCGACGCCCACGGCTGCTTCAAGCAGATCGAACTCTCGGATGGCACCCCGCTCGAGCTCACTCAGAGCGTCAAGTACAACACAAGTGGCGTTAACTTCACGTTGGCCTGCGCGTGAGTGGCTATACTCTTCGTTGACGCAGTGAAGAGGGCAAGGGGAACTAGCGAAACTAACAACTCTTTCAGATACGTCCACGAAGGTTCCAGCGGACCGAGCGCGATCAAGCTTTTCGACCCCGCCCAGCTCGAGGCTGCCGGAGCCGCCGCGCTCGCTGGCTTCGCTCGTGACGAGAAGGCCATCTTCGCGCGCGAGGACTCGGCGTACATCGCCAGGGATTTCCCGGTGCTCTCCCGCAAGGCGCAGGGTACGGGGTACGCGTGCTACTACGTGCGTCATTGTCCATTTCGGGATGAATGGATGGAAGACTGACGTTGTGGTGACGGCTTTGCAGAACGACACGCACGACCTCGTCGCGCACGACAAGGAGGGGACGACGGAGGAGGATGCGTGCCCGGAGGTGATGCTGTGTTAGGCGAGGAAGTTGGCGATGTACTTGCCGCGGACGCTGTTGTGTAGGGCGTAGCACGAGATCGGCGCGGACCTAGCGAACCAACCTGCCGTGGACCTGTGATCGGCGCGTACCTACTGCCTAGCGCCGTGAGATGTAGCTCGTAGACCTTGCTCGTGACGAGCACGACGGACTCAATACCATTCTTTCTCTTACGGACACCCTCGGCTGTGAGCAGGCGACTTGAACCTTGTGGTGAGGTGGCGACAACAAACCCTTCTATTTCGCTCTCAACCCCTCCATCCTATGTGTTGGCTTATCATCTCGTTTTCACTATCATGAAGAGATATTCCATCTACAAGGAGCGCGAAACGGCGAGTACGGACCATGTCTCCCGACGGCGCGCCCGGCGCGCTCTGATCGCCGACTGTGATGAAGGGAACATGACTCTGGGGAAGCTGGGGAAGACATCCATTCGCTGCAACTCTGTTCTGTTCATGACCGGCGCTGGACGTCGTACGCGTCGACGCTGCCCGTATAGGCACTGGGCGCTTACGCGCTGTGCCCCCCGGACACCCCGCGGGGTGTCAGAAGTCCTCCAAACGGCGATCAGGAATGGCGTCGCGATATACTTTGCCTTTCCCCCTCATCAACGGCGCTATTCGCGAGCTTGCTCGACGCCCTCGCGCTCAAATTTCCCTCTACGAAGCTCTTCATCTACGCCTCGACGAGCTCTACACACGGACGAGGGCGCTTAGCGGGACGCGCTTCTTTCATCACCGACGTCTCCCCATCGAGGACAAAGGGCGGAGGGAATACCAGCGACGACGAATCCGACGCGACAGACGAGCAGGGCCGACACTAGAGGGACAAGAGAATGCCTGCGCAGCCTGCGATAGCCTCCATCCAGCAGAATGGCGAGGATTCGGACTCGGGACTATCGTCTTTGACGGATAGCGAGTCGGAGTACGAGCTTGAACGATCGCCGACCCCGCCGCCTCCCAAGAAGAAAGCCGCGCCAAGGAAGAGCTCGGGGCAGGTGTCCGCGAAAGGTGCAGCGGGAAGGACGGCGAAGGCGGGACCCAAGTCGGTGCAGGCTCGAGCAGCCGCCGCGGCAGCGGCGAATGTGGTGCGCGATCAGCCAGAGCGATGCAAGGCGGGGCGCTGACCTTTGCGTGTAGGCTTCGACCTCTACGGCTCCAGCGCCTGTGAAGGAGGAGGACGAGGAGGAGACGCCAGCCGAGGCCATCCCGAAGGTGTCCCCCAAGACGAAGCGCACGCGCGCGTCAACGACGCAGGCGACGGCCACCAGCCGTGCCAAGTCCACCAAGAACGAGAAGAAGATTGTCCCCATGTTTGACAGAAAGCGGCGGACGGAGAACATGTCTGTCGCAGACATTTACAGTGCGTATGCGCGCCAGCGTCAAAAAATCTCGATACTGACTGCCTATATGCTGCAGGACTGGTCACGAAAGGGATCATCAACCTCGATGCGGAGTATCAACGAGGTGCGTCTCGCCCTGCACTCACCATCCCTCATACAAGTGCTTATATGCGCATATATAGAGGTCGTATGGACAGTGGATAAGCAGAGCTCGCTCATCGACTCCATCATGCAAAACATACACATACCGCCGCTCATCTTCTGTGCGTAGTGCTCCCTTTCCCATCCTCCTGCCATCTCTAATGACCTGCCGCCAGCGATGAAGAACGACAACGACATCATGACATGCATGGATGGCAAGCAGCGTATCACGTCTATCAAGAGGTGAGCAGGGGATCCTACCGTTGCATGCTTCAATGCTGATCAACATTGTTCGTTGACGCAGATTCATGGACGGCGAGGTATGTTCTTCTTCACGGATACATCATGTCGGGGTCCTGACAGTCTGCTAGATTCCCTGTATGCGCATCCTCCCCTCACTCGCGCATCTCAACCCTGACATGCAACGGTTTTCACAGTGAAGGACTCGTGAGTGTACCTCCGTCACACTCATGATGATGTGTACTGATCATTCGGCGTAGCCGATCGGGCAAGCGATACTGGTTCTGCGGCAACCCGAAGACAAAGACCTCAACCAGGCAACAGATTGACGAGGACAGTAGGGAGCGCTTTATGCGAACCCAGATTGTGCTCGTCTATTACGACAACATCACCATCGAGCAAGAGCGAGAGATTTTTGGGGTACGTATGCGCATACACCTGGCCCTGCCGACGACTTACGCAGTGCCCAGCGCGTGCAAAATGGTGTTGCGCTCACACCGGCAGGTAAGAGTGAAATATACTGGTTCTTTTCGCGGCAAGCACGTACTCACTTCCTCTTCCACGTAGAACGCATGCGCGCGATCAACAGTCCCCCAGCCGGGGTGGTTCGCGCCGCAGAGGCCCATATACGGGACGTACTCAACCATGCGCCCATCACTGCATTCATGCAGGCCGACGGAGAGCGCTTCTATACCATCGCGCAGCTCGCCATGCTTGTATGCAACGCGAAGGCGGATGCGCCAGACACGACACGGACGGAGCGATGGCTCAACGGCACCAGCGTCGCGCGGGTGCCTCACTTCTGGCGCGCGTTCAACATGCTGCTGATCATCGCGCTGGAGGAGACGGGCGATACGGAGGGTTGGACATCTGCCAGCGACTGGGCGCCCCCTAGCGGCGCAGAGATTGTCATGGCGGGCTACCTCGCGTACCACTGGCGTGAGCGCGAGGTCGCGCATGTTATTGCAGGCGTGCGCGCGCTGTGGGCGCAGGTCCGCGCGGCGCACGCGGGGCCGAAGGGGAAGGTCAAGCTCTCGGAGGCCGTGTACAAGAAGATGAAGGATTTCGCGAAGGCGTCCCCGCGCTCGACCACGTCCGGCTGGACGTGGGGAGGTCTGGGTCCTAATGCGGGCCCAAGGGCAGGAGATAAGGTGACCGCCGCAGTGCCGGAGCAGGCGATGGGGTTGGAGGAGCTGAGGGCGTTTGTAGCAGGACTGGGCGGAGCGGCGCAAGTTTCGGTTGCGCCTGTGACGACCGCGCTGCCACCTGCCCCCATTCCGCAAGCGACAGGCAAGCGGAAAGAGGCGCCGACGAATGAGGGCGAGCGGTCGACTAAGCGCGCCCCCGTTGTGGAGCCTCTTCCAACCGTGTTGATCCCGTTAGGACGGAAGCGGAAGAACGAGGAGGACGAAGCGGCGAGGCCAGCAAAGAAGCGGGCGGGCGAAGCGGGAGTTGCAAGTATTACCGCGAGCGTAAGCTGGAGCTCAACGACGTTGAAAGCCACCGCGTCATGCCAGCAGGCGGTCCAGTCGGCAGGCGCGGGTTCGTCCGGACCCTCAACGCACCGCGCTGCGCCTTCCACTCAGAAAACCTCTCCGAAGAGGGCGACGACGTTCGCGCCTCTTTCGAAGACGGTCGCGGCGAAGAATGGGAAGAGCAAGGCGGCCACGACCATCAAGCCGCGGAAGTCGTCCGCCAATACGCCCGTTGTTGGACAGGGAGTGGGACAGGGCAATGCGATGGCGACGAATCAGGCGTCGACACCGTCGGGAGGCGCTTCGGGTTCAACTATGTCGACAGCGCAGGGGAACGCGGCCAGCTCGCCTTACGACAACACGCCCATACCTATGGCGTCTCTTCCTCATTTCCAGAGGATCAGCGCGTCGGGACCTATTGACAATGTCCTCTCGCCCTCGCTGGCGCGCATGTCGCGCAAGTCTAGTATGGATAGTACAGCGTCTTCGTCGGCACCTCCACCTGCCTCCGCACCGCCTACCTCTTCGTCCTACTCGTCTTCCTCCCGGCCAGCCGAATCCTCTCTCCCCACACCGCCATCCACGACCTCATCTCTACCGCCCGCGAGCGCGTCACTACCACCGAAGCCCGACTTGTCCGGCCAGCTCCCGCGCCCGCCCACGCTCCCGCAGCGGTCGGGCCGCGGCGGGCGTGGTCGCCTCATGGAGAACCTGCAAACGCAGTTCGGTGCGCCATCGCCCACAGGGACGAATCCGTCGTTGCTGGGTTGGGGCGCTTCTGTAGGAGGTGCGAGATCGCCGCTCAACGCGTCTTCGCCCGTTTTGGGACCGGGCTCATCGGCGTGGGGCGACCGGCGCACCACCGACCCGCGTATGCGAGGGTCGGCGAGTAACTCGCCTGTCATTCCGCCGCCGCCAGGACAGCGTTGAGGTGCGAGTGGTACGTTTGTACGTTGTGCTCGCGCAGCGCGGCCCCTGGACCAGCACAACTCGAATACTGTCGATTCACATAGATATTACCCTCGCTCTCTTGCGTAATTATAAGTTATCGTTGTCTTGCATATTTTCTGAGCTTTACAATATTCAATCACTAGACTACTGTCATTTCCACATTGTTTTTCGTCTGGCGAAAATCACATTCTGACCGATGTGTTCCTTTCAAACGTCCTCGTCCGACTCATCACTTCCCCTATCAGTCACCTCAAAGAGCTCCAGCGCCACGACAGGTACGATTGCGCAGAGACATGGCTCCTCCCGAGACGCCACCATCTTCTGCAAGGCGTCGTTGAGCTTCTGATCCGTCCCTTCGTCCCGCGCGACCCTCAGAGCAGACAGGTTGGGCAACAACGGTGGTTCTTCTGCAGCACAAGTCAACCGCTGAAGCACAGGTTCCGACATCAGAAGGAAGGTATCGCCCTCGACCTCTCGCACGCGCAACTCTTCCAGCTTGCGGAAGCGCTCCAGGCAACGAATGAATGCTTGGGGATCGTCCGGAGCGACGCTGTCCAGGTCAAGTCGCTTCGGATTCGGAAGCGGATGATTCGAGAGAAAGTCGAGCAGGTAAGGGACGGGGCTATAGCTGAGGTCGCCCATGTTTCGCAACGTCAGCTCCTCGAGGGCTGGAGCGAGGATGTACCTGAACATCCCTTGGGCAGCGTCAGCAGCGAGGGTGAGGTGTCGCAAGGCGGTGAAGAGTATCGGATTTCCGATCAAGTTGTTGTCACTATACATGTAGCTGCTACTTTCGATGTCGAGGTGCAAGTCCACCAGGGAGAGTCGACAGCTGTCCAGCGCGTGCAGGAGCGGCTGAGTCGGCGGTCCGCCGCCGGCATCGTGGGCGCTGTCCACATGCAGCTCGAACGAGTGGAGGTCGGTCAGAGTTGGGAAGTGGATCTTGTGCCAGTGCGCATTGACCGGCCACGACTGGAGGAGATGAATCACAAGACACCTGAGAGACGGCGATTTCTGCATGAATTCGAATGGGCGCAGGTCCTTCTGCACGGAATCAAGTGGTTGCAGGCCTTTATTTCCTGTGGGCCCCTGCAAGTGGATCTCTGCAGTTGCGAGGACGGGCAAGTCGACGATAGGCTGTTGCTCAAGGGCAAGACATGCCGTATGAACATCGATGGACGTCCACCGCGAGGCGTGCGGGCGTAGCTCCCGAAAGAGCTTGGTAAGCGCTATGGGTTCTGAGACAGCTTGGATGTGGAGCGGCAGAGCTTTGGCGAGTGCGACCTGAGCTGGATAGCTGAGGCCTACATTCCGTGGCCGCGCCGAGGAGACGTAGGACCACAACTCGGGTTCGCCCAACGCGATGAGGCGCCACCGGAGGCAGACGCATGCTATGGTGTCCGCGATGACCGTCGCGCGCCGGAATGGCTCGACGTCTTCGATAGCGTGGTACATGACGAGCAGGAAGAGCTCCGCAGGAAGGCGCCACACTGGGGAGGCGATTGAGCGGTTGATCGCAATCTGCGTCGTCACCCTGTCGCGCAGGGCAGTCGCCGCGCTGCCGGAGGTTTTAGCGCTAAGCAGGGAGTCGGACAGCTTTGAAGAGATCTCCATGAGTTCCTCGCACTCCTCCGGCGAGGGTACGAAGCCAGCTCGCTGAAGGTCGAGGCTGGCGAGGCACGAGGCGCGTTGTAGAAGCGCGTCGTTCGACATGGTCCAAATTTCTGCAGGAGACGATGAGCAGCACTTACAGAACCAACGTCCCGGACATACGCAAAAGACACCGCGGGCCTGAGAACAGAGATTCTCGATGAGGTGATCAGGGTAGGAGGTAAGTGGAAAATCCTCAATCAACCCGTACTGAAAGGCGGTTAATCTCCAAACCATCAGACTCAGATCGATCACATGGTGGGCTTCCACTTCGCAAACTTCCGGACGCTCGTCCAACTATCATTGTCTTCTTGCGGACGCATTGCAAGGGATTCTGCAACTAAAAATGTTTTGAAAGAAACTACCAAGTCCATATGGAGTGGAGTGGAGTGGATTACCCGAGCGGTCCCTTAAGGAACATACGGGGTGCCCGTACTACGACATACAGTGCTGAAGTACGCGCTACGGAGCCGAACGACACACAGAATTACCATTGTAGCAAACCCAACCCGAGTTCGGCCGCCTCCTGGTCTCTCCCGCAAGCCGTGAGTCACAATCCTCCATCCTGGTTACCTTTCCCATCCGAAGCAGCCACCCACGCGCATGTGGGCAGCGAGACAGCGTGATGCCTGCCGAATAGCTGTAAAAGATCTTGAATGTAAACTCCCCCAGTGTATCGCATGCCGTCGGGTGCGCGCAGAGCGCGTGAATCCACGCCACCGGATACTGAGAGCACCCGCGAATAGGGGGGTCGACATCGGCGACGCTATCCCAGAAGCGCATACACAGGGCGACTAAGTCAGCCCGGGAGTTGCAGCTGTCTTCGATGCCATCTCCGCAAAGCCACGCAGGCGCCCTCCAGACGCGCTTGAGACCATCCGCCACGCACGTGTAGGAGCGGGTGCTCCCCGGTGACGATGGCGGTGACCGCCGTGCCGTGATGCGGCATAGCGACGTTGAGGTAGGCGCAGCCTTGGTGAGGTCCATCTCTTTCCATCAAGTCACACGTGCGCCACGACGCCAATGACCAGCATCGCGGGAGGCATGAGGAGTGGGGTACGTTGAGCTGTCTAGCAGCAGGTCGTTGTAAAATGGTTGGGCGAGGATGGGTTGTTGACGGATGGGTTGGTATACCAGTGATGGTGAATGGAATAATGCACATTGAATTTGGATAGCCCTACGTTCCTTCGCAGGGAGTTGGGCTGTACGTGCTCGAGCCTGTGTGAAGGGACCGAGACCGTGCATACCCAGAAGGCCCGGGAAGCCATATGTACTCATAAAGGGGCTGGGGGGGATGCTGGTGGCGTGCTATGGGCACTGTCACCACACATTCTCATCTGCCGCAGATGCGATCCCCAGTCGAAGCTCCCCACGCTCGACGTCGCCGTAAATCGGGCGTGATTGATTCCGGCAAGCAACGCTTGCGCATCGCAATGCTCGACCACTGTTGTCGCGCGCATCCGCGGTGTCCGCGGACGCCCGACGGTATAGATGCTGGCACCAGGAGCGTCGAGAATGACACTCCGAGCGTGCTCGTCGACGGCAGCTATGTGGAATGGGGGAGGGATTGGCGGCATGACGGCGCATTCGGAGCGCCAGGGGAAAGTACTGCTGCCCCTTATATTATAGGGGCGGGGTGGCACCGATGCATTCGCAGTCGTACAGGACGTTCTTCAGTGTAAAGCATCCAGGGGGGCGCACTGAGGGCACCATCGAGTGGGTAGGAATGCGAGCAATGTTGCTGCGGCGGCGTAGGCTGGACGTGGGGGCAGATCGGCCCCTGATCAAAGCCCCTCCCCGAGTGCGAGGACGCCGCCGACGAGCATGTGTAGTTGCCGATCACATTCATGGGTAGCTGCTCACGCATCCAGTGCTCTGAACACCGTTACTGTGCGGTTTTGCAGTGTCTATTCCCCGTCCGACGGTCTTCGACCATGTCGAACGCTTAGACCATGATGGTGGTAAAAGGCAACTATGTATAGGTATCGTGTCACATAAGCCAGTGGTGGTAGGCCAGTCACCATAGTTGTTGTCCGTCTTGCCTACTCATGGATAGGTCCATGTTAAGCCGTCAGCTCGTACTGTTGCCTTCCGAACGCGACAGGCGCCATTATCCGGGTGCAGTAAGTTATCAAGGCTAGGCCTCGCGTGCGTCGGCCATTCATCTCCCTGGTGAGGCTGACGGACTTGTCGCTGCGCGTCTCCCCCGCGGTCGATCGCATCCACGGTGAGCTCGAGCGGGTAGCGCGAAATGTCGTCCAGGGCACTGCTGTAACACAGGTCATACCAATCCTTGGACGTGATCTTGCAGCCCAGATCGACGTTGGCGACGCCGTAGCGGGTCAGGGCGCGGAGGGAGTACCAGGGCGCGGGGACCTCGGCGCGTGAGCCGCGGAACGAGATGCGCTTGCCCGCGAGCGCCGCGATGAGCCGGCTCCTGCCCCCGACGCGGGCGAGGAAGTCGCCTTCTGCCTCTCGCTCGTTGTCACCGAGGGCACGTATAGGGCGCGTGGGAGGAAATTCCATTTTGAGGTGGTCCCAGCCAGGTATGAATAGCAGGTTCTCGACAAGGAAGTCGATTGCCGAGTATTCCACCTCAATGTCCATAGCGCAGGCAACAGATAGTTCGACCGTGATCCCTGGAGGGACTTTCCTGATGGCCTCCTCAATCCTCCCGACGAGGATGTCGATGCCGCTGTGTAAAGGGAGTGTATCGTTGGAAGTGTAGTTTTGGCTGGCAAAGCAATGATAGTCCCAAAGGATGCAAATAATCCTGCAAGTCCCTGTTTCGCCGGGGGGCGGAAGATAGTACCAGGGCTCGGGTATCCTGTATTTGATCCAGTAGCTGCGCTGAAACCGCGGCATGTCAAAGCAGGTGGGGCGTGTGCGGAATTGGTGGCAAGGCGAGGTCGCGAGAGTGCGCAGAGAGCGGTGTTAACGAGTTGAATAGAGACGCGCAAGATGGAGAATAAGAGTGTCTTGCGCGGATACGCCCCGAGTTCGACTGGGTGAAGGTGGATCCGAAAGTCGCACAGAGTCGAGTATGGAGCAAGAAGTTGAGTTGCTCTGGACTTATATAGGCGAGGGGAGTAACGTCAAGGAGGTACATACACATCCGTGCATGAGCTATGACAAAAGTCAGCCATAAGGGGTAAACCTGGGGCGCTCAGATCAGCGGGGACAAAGTGAATATCGCCGAACAAAGAACCATGCTTAACGGATGGAGAAGTAATAAAGGCATCGAAGTAGATAGAGATGCGTACCTGAACCGTTCTTGTTGATGAGAGGAGCGCGAACGTACGCGCGATGCTTGCATACTGCGAGGGCACCGCCGACGAGAAATGCCTCGAACGGACAACATACAACGTCAGCGTTGCAGTGTTTTATCTACACATGCCATTAGAGGGTGTCATAGGAAAGTGTCTTCCGATGCACCAAGAACATACGCCTTTGTTGCATGCAGCAGTCTACCGACTGTATGATGCATCAGCGTGAGCCTTCCACTTCAGCCAAAAGAAGTGGGCCTTAATTTACCATAAGATGTGTTGAACGGCCGACCGATACGATGCAGGACTCCGCAAGCCATTAGGAATTTTTCTTGTCGAGCAAAGATCAACGGCAGGGCCCGGAATGAGGCGAGTACGGTGACGCGGAGAGCGGGCCGGGCTCGGCTCACGGAGATGATGAAGAAGATTCCCACGAGGTTACTCTGTAACGAAGTCTCGATTGAAAACCTTGCCCTCCTCCCTTGGAGGAGGGCCCTTTTATACCTACAGCTGTAAGTAGTCATAACTAGTCACGGAGTATATATACGAGTCATAAGAAACCAGGAGAACCTCAAGGAACTCCAAAGGAAATACCCCCGCGAGGGGTGAAGGCAGAGCACGTGGCGTCGGCTAAGGCCGAGGCGTCACATACCCCCCTCCAGCGCCTTCTAAGGCGCTCTGTAAGTACAGTAGCAACCAGTAAGTAGCACGTATGTATAGAATAGAAACGAGTCTTTGTTTTTGTATATATTTCGAACCTTTTCTGTAAGTAACTTTCGAGCCGTTGTTCTGATGATCTCTAGTAAGTAGTAAGTAACTACTGGTTCCCCTTGCCCTCGCGCCGCTTGGCACGGTTCGCCTCGAAGGCCTGCTGGCGGCGGGCGTTCGACAAGCGCCCCTGCATCGCCTCGATGGCCGTCACCTCACGAAGGAGGAGCTCCTCGTTGGTGGGCTCGGGCACCTTGCCCTCCACCTCGTCCATGTAGCGATGCGCGGCCGCTCCGCTGCTGATGTCGAGGATCTGACGCACCCAGAAGGTCCGATCAATGCGCTGCTCGTCGGGGATGGGTCGGACTTTGCCGGTCGCGAGGTCGATCGGGCACATGTGCTTGCCGAAGTCGGCGCGCTGGAGGATTTCCACGAACTCGGCATAGCCGGACGGGACCTCAACAACGTCGTGGCGGATTCCAGTAGCAGTGATGCCGTCGCTGAAGCGCATGTACTCGACGAGGATGGTGAGTGGGATGCGGTAACTGAAGAGGTATTCTTCAGGGTCGTTGCGCGCGTAGATAGGGATGACGAGGCGGCGTCCGCGGATCTCCCACGTCATGGGAACGATGCGGCGGTGGGCGAATTGGGCCGGGCCACGTGGCTTGGCGCGGCCGAGGAGGAAGCCGTCGTCCTCGGAGGCGCGCTTGGCGGGCGTCGTCTCAGCGGCGGCGGACGGAGGCGCGGTCTTATCCGCACCAGCGTCGGCGGCGGCGTTGACGCGCGGGATGGGTTGCTTCATGACGTCGGAGCGCGCGGCTTCCTGCTGGCGGATGCGGTCGGCGATGATACCGGCATTGTACTTGGCGCGGGCGGCCTCCTTTGCGCGGAGCGCGGCGGCGGTGTCGACAGGCGGCTCGCTGTCGATGAGAGTGGAGGCGGCAGAGCCGGCGGCGTCGAGGACGGACGACATCGTCTTGGGCGCGGGTGCCGGCGGGGCGGCCTCGGAACTGGGTGGGTCGACATCCATCGGTTGGACCGAGTCCGCCTTGTTGCCATTTTTGATCGCCGGCGCCGTTTTGGCCTTGGTGTGGGAACGGGTACCGACACGGTTGACGTTGGGCGAAGGGGAAGGAGAGTTGGGAAGCGGAGGTAAGGTAGAAGTATCCATAGTATGTATGTAGAGAGAGGAAGAGGAAATGGAGTTGGTTTGGCATACTGACTGTCCATCCCTTTTAAGGGGATCCCAGCTAAGCCCATTACCCGATTCGTCGTGAATCTCGCCATCGGGAACACGAGGCTCGATCGTGAGTTCGAGATTCCCTACATACAATTGGATATCCCCGGGGTCTGGTTCAGATCCAGCCGGGAGATCACCCGCTTTGTCAACGCCAAGCGCCTCAAGGTACTGCTTGACCTTCTCGAGGGTGGCAACATTCTTGATCGGGATCCAGGACATGTCGCCTGGCTTCCACTTCACCTTGAGTACTGCATCAGCACCCTTGCCGTGATGTCCCACAATCTCCTCAATTGCCCATTCTTTCTCCCAGGCACCGAAGTCGGCCACCTGAGTCTCAAGGCGGCCCGGAAATAGCCGATCATCATTGGGAATATGAATTCTCAATAGAGACGCGTGGAAGCGCGGGTGTATTCCCCGCTGCTTCAACTCCTTCGGGAGATCAAGAAGGAAGGCCTCATTGCCTAGATCCTTCAGGATGCGGTATGGTCCAATGAACTTGGGAAGTAGCTTACGAACGCGGCCCTTCGGGAAGTTCATGTTGGCAGTTGAGACATATACTAGATCGTTCTCGGCAAAAGGCGCGCGGATGCGGCGTCGATTGGCATCACGTGTCTGCTTGACACGCGCGGCGAGCACTGCGTCATGAGCCTGCATGATGGCCTGCTTGACGCGGCGCGCATAAGTCCGCACCCCGGGATATTCCGTCGTGGGTGCGTCCTCCCAGATCATGGCGCGGGGCATGCGACCAGTATTCAGGAAGAACGGTGCATACCCCGTGCTCTCCGAGCGCACGGAGTTGATCGCAAACTCAACCGCCGGCAATTTCAGGACCCAGTCCGATTGAGCGGGCTCGACGCATTCGCGTATCATCTGGACAACTGTCCGATTGGCCCGTTCAGTTGATCCGTCGGTCTGCGGATGGTATGCAGTTGACATGCGCAGCTCCGTTCCGATCAACTTGTGCAGGTGAGTCCAGAATATGCTCGTGAAGAGCGAATCCCGGTCACTGACTATGTACTTGGGGAGCCCATGTAGCTTATAGACTTCCGCAAAGATAATGTATGCCAGAGTCTTGGCAGTCACATTAGTACGCGTCGGAATAAGATGTACCATGCCGGTCAGCAGGCAGATCACGACGAGAAGGTAATTGAAGGTCCCATTGTGATTCTCGCTCTCGGGAAAGGGACCCGTGAAGTCTATCCCGATAGCTTCCCAAGGCGTGCCAGGCACCGGCAGGGGATTCAATAGCCCGTACGGCTTGTGATTGCTGGGCTTATTCCAAGCGCACGTGGTGCATGATGCGATGAACTTCTGCACATCAGGCACCAGCGTCTTCCACCACACCTGATCACGGAGCACGGGGATAACCTTAGCGGCACCGAGATGCGCGAGTAAGGTGTGTGCTTCCTGAATAATGAGTCCTCGCACGGAGCGACCACTTTCCTTGATGTTCGGAATGCACAGCAGACGACGAGAGTCCTGCTTCAGGAAGATGAGTCCGTCAACCACCTCAAAGTTTCGGAAGTGACTGGGTTCTTCCAATATCTTGGCAAAGAACGGATCGTCCTGATACTTATCCCGGATCAAATCTTCAATGCGTACACCCCGTGTGTGATTGGGTATAGCCGTCAAGATAGGTTCCGTGAGGCTAGGAGGTGCGATATCATTATCTTCGTCACCTTCCGCGCCGACCGAGGTCGAGACACGTGTTTCCTCTGCTGAGGCTGGTGTCTCGCCTGTCGGGTGTTCTGGTTCGGATTCCGACATCTGGACAGCACTAGGTATGTCTATATTCGCATCCTCTGTGATTGGGCTGCCGACGTCGGGCGACGACGGGCTGTCTTCGACAGCGCGCGAGTGCGCGTTCTCTCGGGTACCCGAGGGGTACTCGGAAGATGCCGAATGTGATGTTCCGCTGACATCACCTCGCGTGGCTTGATCGGAAGCAAACGCGTGATGAGCTGGCAGCGCGTTCTGCGCTGCTTCCTTCTCACTCATCTCGTCTTCAAACGCGTTCGGGTCACTTGCAAAAGGTTCGACCGGGTCGTCTCCCCCCTCCAGACGCGTCGCGCGTCTATCAGAATCGCCATCCGCCGCGTGATCGCCCACAATCAAGCGGACGGATCCTTTCTTCGCAGCGAGTCGGCGAACCCAGTCGTTGAAGGCCTTCGTCGAGCCTTTCGGACGACCGCGACCACGGCGTGGAGCTGCGTCGTCCCCGCCTTCTGGCGCAATTGCCAGGGCGCCAAGCTCGGTCACAAGCGGCCGAGTAATGTCCATACCGTCGTAATCGACAGAGCCATCCTCATCAAAGGATGTATATTCAGAGGGAGAGCGCAGTGTTCCAGGTGCGTCGCCCTCGTATATGCGTGATAGTGCATCAGCTAACACGTTATCCACGCCCGGCAGGTACACGACTTCGAAGTCAAACTCGCCCAACTTCTCAAGCCAGCGCGCTTGCCGCCCCGAAAGGTTTGGCTGCCGCAGAAGATGGACGAGACCACGATGGTCAGTCACCCACGTAAAGTGGAATCCCTGAAGTAAGTCGCGATGTCGCTGCATTGATTCCACGCCAGCTAACATCTCAATCTCATGTACAGGATAATTCTGCTGAGTCGTGCTCAGCTTCGCGGAGAAGAGCGCGATTACCGTTCCGGTACGCCAATCCTCCCCTTCAACGACTACTCCTGACAAAGACGACTTAGAGCCGTCGGTCAGAAGCCAAACGCGCGAAGTGGGCTTGCCATCCGGCCCGAGGGTGATGCCTCGGCGTGAGACGCGCTTGCTCGCGCTCACCAGCCGCTTGCAATCCTCAAACGCGCGCTGCTGCGTGAATCCCCACTCCCATCGGTGAGTTTCGCCGCACAAATCGTGCAAAATGCCCAGGGGCGCGGCGATCTCGGCGACATTGT